GTTCACATACACTGAACTAAATCATCGTATTAACCAGTTCAAGTATCTGGGGAATGATGCACGTGATAAACCGGCTGACGTAACTCCTGGTACTGGGAAATTAAGTGGACATGCAGTGCAAAATTGGTGCTTGCTCAGGCTTTTACCTCTTTTGGTAGGGGAAAAAATTGCCAATCCAACTGAAAATGAGGTGTGGCAGTTAATTCTTCAACTCAGACAAATAGCAGAGCTCATCTGTGCTCTTTCAATTATGGTCAGTCAGATTGCTTATTTAGCAGTTCTAATCGAAGAGTATATTGAGACTAGAAAGGTGTCTTTTCCAAGTCATCCACTTAAACTGAAACTCATTGATCGTTTTGGTCCACTTATTCGTTTATGGACGCTGCATTTTGAGAGCAAGCACTCATAAGTGTGCAAGTGTGCAAGAAAATTGCACAATTTCATAAACCTGAGTGCTACATTGGCAGAAAGACATCAGCTTCTGCAGAAATTGAGGAATTCAGGAAGCATTTTCCCTGAAAATGTTGTGGCAGAGAAAGGGACAGAATATCATGTAAGTGACTACAATGATGACATTCAAGGATCTGTTGCAGGCTTTCACTTTGAGCCAGGGAATACATTGGCATCAAATGAAGTGACCGTAAAGGGAACACTTTACAAAAAGAACCTGCATGTAATTTTGCAGAACAATGATGAGGGAATTGTATTTGGGAAAATTCAGTTACTACTTGTTCATGACAATTCCAGTGTGTTTTGTCACACAGACATGTCAGTCGTTTTGTCTCGTAGACCAGGGAGTTCATTGCTTGACATCTCAAGATAAGGGCTACTTGTGCATAAACCAAGAGAGCTTACTGGATTACTATCCTCTTCCTGAATACTCTCTGTGTGGCTTGTCAGTAATAGTTCTCCACCATTCTTTCCCAATTCTAGAATAATGTCTGGATTGAGAGAAGTATTGAAAGATGCAGTACTGTCGGTGTTGCCAAGCCTATCTCCAGATGTTACCAGTCAACTGGTTGAGAAGCTCATGGATCAGGGAGTTGAGGGTTTGGATGATTTGATTCATGTAAAGGAAGATGACATTTTGGAGTTCATACGACCTATCCAATGCAGAAAACTTCTTGGTGCCTGGCAAAATCAAGGTAAAGATAAGGTTGTTCAATTTAAAAAAAAATTGTTTTATCATTTAAAATGTTACATTGCATTGCAGTACTTTTTATGACAGATTTTTTATTGTATATAATTTACAGAAAATCAAAACCAAACTGTGGTTTTGCAACCGGTTGAGGTTCTCCCATTGGTTCCCTCTGAAGCCAGCACTACTCCTGATGCACCTCCATCAAGCTCCTCAAGCACATCAGCAAGCAGTCCAGGATCAACCGGTGTTTCACATTCATGGCCTGAAAATTTCAAAGTTCCCTGGAACTTAATGCCTGCAGGTATACAGAATGCTATTGAGAATGGCCACAGACCTTCCCCAGCTGACCGACGACAAATGATTAGAATCCTTGCTGATGAAATAAGAAAACATGAAGAAAACCCAAACAGATCACAGTGTCTTACTGTTACTAGCCAAATAGTCGGACAGTATACAAAAACGTTTGCCGACATGGTAGGTGACAGGTAGATTGGGGGTGGACATGCATCTCTTCTGACACAACTGAAAGTACGTATAGAGCATCTGAATCGAAAAAGTACACTCAGTCATCATAGGACCCAAAGGAGTGAAACTGGAACTACTAAAAAACGAAGTTCCACTGATTCATATGGCTGTACAAGTTGGCAGCCTACTCTTCCACCTGGTGAAAGTTACGAAAGTCTTGAAGTTAAGCGTCAAAAGATGGAGGAGATACATCGTCATGAGGGAATCTCTGGAGCACAAAGAGGGGACGTTTGTAAACTCATGGAGGATGCTATTGAGAATGGCCACAGACCTTCCCTGGCTGACAGACGACAAATGATTAGAATCCTTGCTGATGAAATGAGAAAACATGAAGAAAACCCAAACAGATCACAGTGTCTTACTGTTACTCGCCAAATAGTCGGACAGTATACAAAAACGTTTGCCGACATGGTAGGTGACAGGCAGATTGGGGGTGGACATGCATCTCTTCTGACACAACTGAAAGTACGTATAGAGCATCTGAATCGAAAAAGTACACTCAGTCATCATAGGACCCAAAGGAGTGAAACTGGAACTACTAAAAAACGAAGTTCCACTGATTCATATGGCTGTACAAGTTGGCAGCCTACTCTTCCACCTGGTGAAAGTTACGAAAGTCTTGAAGTTAAGCGTCAAAAGATGGAGGAGATACATCGTCATGAGGGAATCTCTGGAGCACAAAGAGGGGACGTTTGTAAACTCATGGAGGAGACCTATTGCCTCCAGCGTCAGATGATCAATGAAATCCCATCCCCTACAACTGCAGATTTAAGAACCAAAAGGCCGTATCTCTTCACACAAAGGCATATATATGGCAATTTTGAGATGCTTACTGACAAAAAAGTGCACAAACTTTTGGAATTGTCTATTCAGGAGGGTGGACCAAAAATTTTCCAGTTTTTTAAAGACAAACCAACTAATGAGGAAGTTCGGAATACACTCTCCAGTGGTGAAAATGATGTTGCTGCTATGGTCCTACAACTACTACTTGCACACTTCAAAGAGAAATTAGATGGTCTTATCCTTCAGACAGATGTAAGCAGAGATTATTTAACATGTCACATTCATTGCAGCATGTTTTATCTTTCGGTTCTGTTGATGACGGTTGTACTGTTTTCTTTTAAATTTTTTCAGGAATTTGCAACACCTTCAGATGTCCAGCAATCTGTACCTTTGCCAGAGAGTTCACGCCTTATAATTCTTGGTGAGTAAACCTTAGTAAACCTTAAAGCAATACTTCAGGCAGGAAACAAAATTACCCCATGTTTTCCAGATGCACTGTATGTTTAGTGGAATTGTGATTTTGAAGTTAAGCTGACTTAAAGGTTTAGTTCACCCAAAAATGAAAATTCTGTCATTAATTACTCACCCTCGTGTTGTTCGAAACCCGTAAGACCTTCATTCATCTTCAGAACACAAGTTAAGATATTTTTGATGAAATATGAGGAATCTCTGACCCTCCCATAGACAGCAAGGTAACTAAATAATGTAAATAATGCCAGAATTTTCATTTTTGGGTGAACTAACCCTTTAACTAACTTTAGCATTACCTCCATTTTACCAATGAAGCTGTTCCTTTAAATAGGAAAGAGCTCATTGCTACAAATGGAGATATACATTACGGTATTTCTTTGTTAAAGATGAACCCTAAGTGTTTGTTTGACTAAAAGAAAATTAAGTAATGAACGATGTGAGTTCAACGTAACTGTTAAAAGAACTACAGTATAAAGTTTGTGCAGGAAAGTTCTATGTATAAACCACTAAATAACATCACAGAAAAAGACACAGTAGGTTCTTTCATGGGCATCACTGAATGTTTCTATCTATTGTAATAGTTGTGTATGAGTCTCTTGATTGTCCTCAATTTACTGCTGGACATGAGTCAAATATCCAGAAATGCTGAAAAAGCAAAGATTCAGGAGGACCTGGATGATTTTTCTAAAGATCAGTGGACAGTTTAATGACTCAGGACAAACAAGAAACCCTTAAACAACTATGACAAAACATAAAAACTGTCATTGATTGTTCAGGTAACATCATACAGTATTAAGAATCGGGGGTGTAAACTTTTGACCTGGGCTATTTTTAGAAATTGTTATTATTCTTTGGTGTGAACTGTGTTAACCTTACTTCTGTGAAATAACTTGCTCAGGGCAGGACTAAATAAAAAAACTTAAAACTTTTGAGCAGCACTGTATGTTAAAATTAATTTAGCCACTAAACTTTTCTTTAGAGTATTCAGAAATGACAGTATTCATTCACAAAGGTTTAATACAGTTTATTGATCACATATCACATATTTAACATTATCACATAAAGTTACTAAGGTTTGAATGAAATCCCCACAATGCCTTTTTGTAAAAAGCTGAATATGCTCTACATAAGCTGGGTGTCTCTGAGGATGACAATATCATTAAAAAACTGGGTGATGAGTACTCAACTGGGTGATGAGTACATAAAACATTTCACATGTAATCTAACACAAAAGATTGAGGACACATTTAGTTGTGATCTAGTTATTGTGATCCAGTGCACAATACAGATCAGATTTTCCCACAAAATCTGATTTGGGCATGAACAGCTGGAAGTGTAGAAAGCATCTCTGTCTGATATTTTGATATACTATACTTTTATGCTGTTTTCATTTTTGAGACTGCTTAATGTGGGGTTGCAGCCCTAACATCCAGATTTCCATTTTGAACGGAAAGTTTTTTTTTTTTTTTTTTTTTACAGATTGTTGATCTTCACCTGTTAACAACTGTTTACACCAAATATTACAATTCAATTGCATTATTACTTAGTTATTTTGGAAAACAAAGAAATATTCATTGTGTAAAATAACAAGATTTCTTCAATTACTTATCACCACAACACACAAAATTTCATCACATTTTTATTCATGTTATGCAGCCTTGGTTGAGTACCTGAGAGTACACACAAGTATGTGATTTTTTTTAATAGCAGAATATAGTTTACAAAGACAAAATGCAAAGTTTTGTTTGGTTCCATGTTTTCTCAGTGGAGTGCGATGACTAGTATAAAATTGCGATTTCGGTGTGATAACTATATCCAAACAAATCCTTGAAACCCATCTGGTTGAGAGAGAGAGATAGAAATAGGCATAAACATAATAGTAATTTTTGTTGTTTGTTTTCTGCCTTGTAGACGCTTTCTCGACATCAACCCGGAACGTGGATCAGAAACCAAGAAAGGGAAGGTGACTTCAAAGAAGACTGGCCAAGTTGTGCAAAAAAAGAACACTACTGTGAACCCACAGGTTTCCTCTCTTCTGAGAAAACTTGCAGACTTCGAATGGAATTTTGTTTAGACCCTTCCACTATCCACTGTAATTGGACTAAAAGGAAATAAGGTTCCTGCATTGTTAATGTGCTGTTAACTGTTAATTGAAATACAAAAGTACAGCTGGCATTTCCGCCAACATGTTTATGTAATGCATTTTTTTTCCCTCCTGACTTTCTTTTTTTTTTTTCCATAATTTTAAAATATTTTAAAACCTTTCCATTCGTTGAAAGTTAATTAGAGCACTGTTCTGTTAACTTAAGTGCATTTATTTCATACAGCTGACATTTCAGCCAACATGTTTATATAAGGCAATTTTCTGGCCTTTGCTCTTAAGAAATAAACGTTTTAAATTCTAAGAATTTTGTTTTCTATTTCCATTTGAGGCTACTGTTATGGAAAGAGTAATATTTTCCATGTTTTAAGGAAAACAATATAAATACAAATACAATTTATTGCAATATATACAGTATAACATGTAATATTGTAAAATTAAGTGGCATAATAGTAGAATACAGTACTAAGTCATAGTTCTGTAAAAGTACAGTAATTTGCTGGCAAACCCAGCTGCCAGTATGTAAATTGACAGTGAAAAGTTTTACAGTACACACTGTAAAAAAAATTATAATAATACAGCAAGATACTGTATCTGGCAATTACAGTACAATGCTGTAAATGTTGTTTACAGTTGTGGTTCTGTAAAAATACAGAATGTGGCTGGCAACCCAGCTGCCAGTATTTTACTGTAAATTTACAGGGAAAAGTTTTACAGTACACGCTGTAAATAAAAATACAGCAAGATACTGTATCTGGCAATTACAGTACAATACTGTAAATGTTGTTTACAGTTGTGGTTCTGTAAAAATACAGAATGTGGCTGGCAACCCAGCTGCAAGTATTTTACTGTAAATTTACAGTGAAAAGTTTTACAGTGTAGATTAACAAATAACCAGACGCCACCCAATCTAAATATTCCCTCACAGTTTAATAGTAATGACTTTATGAATTTCTTCACTGATAAAATAGATAACATCAGAAATACAATAACAAATGTAGATTCTACAGCGTATAATACTTCAGCTTCATTCATCGCACCAAAATATAAACTGCAGTGCTTTACA